GTGTAGTGTAAAGTCTTTCTATTGGGTTATTACTCGTGTAGTGTAAAGTCTTTCTATTGGGTTATTACTTGTTTAGTGCAGCAGCTGGGTCAGCCTGGGGCAAAGGCTTGCATGTGTCATCCAGAGTTCAATACTCACTTCACAGAAGAAAGACTAAAGAGACATGGGAAGACTAAGAACTCACCCGAGGTCACTTCATTAGTAACGCCAAGGGTTTGAAACTCAAATTTGCTTTGCCGAGTCTTCAGTTATATTCATGAGTTTATTTTGTTTTCAAAGTTTAAGGTGTGTGGTCCATTTAGATAAGACAGGCTGAATGTTTGTTAGCTGGAAAGAATGCATTTATTTTGCTAAGAAAAAAAATCCATTGACTATTCGTTTGAGACCTAATTAGATAAAAAGTTTGCCGAAGATGCTTCAGTTTGCTTATGATTTACAACATGAGCTGTGGCTGTGTTACGAGGAGGTGTGCTTGAGTGACACTGTAGTTCTTAGTGACATAAGACTGCCCTTAAGCTACGACAAAAAGCCATACTCACTGCAAAATACCGTGGGGTGGAAATAGTAATAGCATCTATTCCTCAGATTTTGATAAGGACAAAACGATGTAGAAAGTAATAAATGAAAAGCATTGACTACATAGGTGTTCATCATTGGTGTTAGGATATCTCACATTACTCTAAGGCACATGAGAAACTTAATTTCTTAAGGCCTTTTTTTTTTTTTTTTTTTTTTTTTTTTGGTTTTTCGAGACAGAGTTTCTCTGTGTAGCTTTGCGCCTTTCCTGGAGCTCACTTGGTAGCCCAGGCTGGCCTCGAACTCACAGAGATCTGCCTGGCTCTGCCTCCTGAGTGCTGGGATTAAAGGTGTGCGCCACCACCGCCCAGCGCTTAAGGCCTTTTTTACTAGACTGGGAGTAAATTGCCATAGGAAAGTTTTCACTGGGACCAGAATCTTCAAATACAAAAAAAGACCTTTAATCCAAGTTCTTACACGGCATAGAAATTTCTTCTGCAAAATCCCTTTCCACTTAGTATTCTCAAGCATTATTAACATTCCCAGTAACTAGCTCCAGCCCCTGCCCCGCTTTTGAGGCAAGATCTTGCTATCTGTCTCTGGCTGTTCTTGAACTCAGCACCCTCCAGCCTCAGTCTCCTATGCTTAGACTGCAGGCATGCTCCACTGCACCTGGCGTCTGTTTATTTGATTCCACTTTTTGATAGCTGTGATCATAAAAAATTCTATTTTTTATTGAACTGAAACCCACTTTGTTGTAGCTCCTAGCAGCTGGT